TATCGACACAAGACGAACAAACGTCAACCAATCAGGCAACGTCACATCTCTACATGACTCAACGACCTATACAAGGAAAGGGACACTCGTAAGCGCTCACCCAGTTACTGCATTGGGAATGTCACCTCGATTGGTGATGAAACGTTTGCAGTACAATTGCCACGCTCGTCGAACTAGTGAGCACAATATACATCTATATATATACATATATATATATATATATGTTTGTATATGATGTTTCGCGATAATTTTGGACAATGCTGTCGGTTCGATGTTTTAGTCCACGTATAAATGCTGAAGTTATACTCTTCGAATTGATATCTTCAGTATGGCTTTCCGATGCATTCCGTAGAGTCACCACGTCACGTGACTTTTGAATTCATCCTTTTCATCATGTTCACAGACCTATTTTTCTTGTATATTTTCCTTTTGCTGCTTATTGCCTAAATTGGGTGTATGGATTGAGTTTCATTCAGTCATGTGGGTAATGAGGCAGTTCCGGAATGGTCGAATCCTGGCGAAATTTACTTTTTATTTTATTTCGGCATTCTGCTCATGCAATTCCCTATCCGAATCTGATGCCTTTCAGATTGGAATGGTTGTATGGCACATGCTTCTTCGCACTCCCGATACGCCGACCGGCCGAGGGGTAATTGTGATCGCAAACGATGCAACGCACAAAGCCGGATCATTTGGCCCAGCCGAAGATTTGACTTTCCATCGAGCAAGTCAACTAGCTCGTCATTTGGGTCTGCCCCGAATCTATCTGGCTTCGAATACCGGGGCGCGTATTCGTGTGGCTGATGAGGTCAAAGCCGTATTCCGTGTAGCTTGGATCGACCCAGTTCACCCGGAGAAAGTAAGTCTGTATTGTAATCACTTCAAAAAGTTAGGGCATCGACTAGGACAAAGAGTAGAAAAATAGCGATGTGATGTATTACGTGTCACTTTTCCCTCATTCTAACAGCCACAGCGGCACGAACAGCTGGGCGTTCAATTAAAACAGTTGTTATATCGATTAAAGTATCACTGATTCTGGGTCAACTTGCTCGCTCACTGCTAGATGAGTTTCGGAATGTGAGGATGCTGCCGTCAAAAGTTCAAGGTACCACGATTCAGTTCCTTTAGTTTGCAAAACAAATAAATTTGCATTTTACCTTGAACTTGTACATCATCTGGAGAGTTGCATATTCTCAGTCGTTGATTCTACCGATTCCTTGCAATTTCTCGTGTGATTTTCGAACACTGACATCGAATCCTAATGACTTCTGGCGTCAACAGACACTGTGTAGGGGATATTAATCTTTGAAATTTTAAGTAAAAGACTTTATTTGTTGACATTGGAATACTGGTAAATCTAGTGTTTTTAAAATAGGGAGGTAAGACTGAAGTGAAACTGCTAATAAGATCAGTCACGCTGTCCACTGGTTATCCCCGTGTCATATTCAATTTGTGATGAAGAGATCATTGCATGATTAAGACAGACCATGAACTCTTGTGAAGTTGGCAAAACTGGCGATCAAGAATTAACACGTCGTTTTTATGCCTCTGCAATTCTCATGTTTTATTCGTCTCTCGTTTATGGCATTGGATCATTTATACCTAATCCGAACTAAAGCGTTTGTCTGCATATACAAAAACGTTCCAACTTATACGCATAGCTTGTTTATTGCCATAATTGCTGGAATACTTTGAATTTATGAACGCTTTATCCCGTTACTCTTTGGTAACCAGGGTTATGCATACCTCTACTTGACTCCGGAGGATTATGAACGTCTACATGCGATGGAAGCTGTGAACTGTGAATTAATCGAAGATTACGGTGAAATGCGGTACAAAATAATTGACATAGTCGGTAAGTCTACATTCTGGATGCGGATCACTGTTTTTATTTTGTCATCTGATTACGTTTATTAAACAACGTGTGTTATCCATCATGCTTTATTTGTTAACCTCCGGCCATGCATTTGGGGTTTGATTCACGAATGCTTCGAACATCCAGTCAAGTGAATCCGGACCTATGATTCCAGATGCCTCTTTCTGTTCTCACTAGCTTTGCAGTTCCAAAAACATGAACCATATTTGGGAGATTCAGTTTTTCGTCACAATCGCTTCTCACAGAATTGTCCAATTTGGAATCATATTCATATTCCGTGGTGGAATAAGTCTGGACCGTTTGCAATCCCTGCCGGTTACGTTTTGTCATCTTATTCCCAAAAGACCTATTGGACTACCACACCTAATTTATTAACATGTTAACAGTCAAACAACCTGCAGTTGATGCAGACTCCATTGGTGTCTGTTTGTTAGGTTAATCGATTGGTCATTCATTGTTGTCTGTAAAATACCTAGCGCAATGCGATTCTGTTTTAGTCTGTGGGGCATTTAGAAGTATTAAATTATGGCATTCATCTAAGGCATTATTGCTGTTGTTTTTTTAAATTTTACTTGGAGTTGCCCGTTTCCACTCATTGATCTAGGCAAGGATCATGACATGTCCGTAGAAAACTTACGTGGTTCTGCAATGATCGCTGGCGAAACCTCAGTTGCCTACGACGATATTTTCACAATCACCATTGTCACTAATCGAGCAATCGGAATTGGGGCCTACTTAGCTCGTCTGGGCCAGCGAATAATTCAAGTGAGTTTTCGGTGCTGTGGTTGAAGGGCGCTACGACCTGAAGCTGTTTTCGTTCGTTTTTCTTTTATACGATGTTTCATTCGGATAGTACGAGTCCAATTACACCGAACCACTTGTTGGGTGTACAAAGTTGAATTTTAATATCCGATTTTTTTTAGGTTCGGCGACTCATTTTCCTCTCCACATAGATGCTCCTTAGTCAATCCTCATTTTTCACATTTGGCAGATTAATCAAAAAAATTGGTACACTTTTGCTTGTTCAATATCAGTCGGTTCATTCAACTTTGTCGAGTGTTTCGTGCTTGAGTCTTTACTTCTATGAATCTTTG